GCCACACGCAGCGCCACAGGCCGCAGCCACATGCGGTGCCACAGGCCAGTCTGGCTTCACGGGCCGTTAGATGGGGTCTCCACGCTGAATAAAACCGTCAGTCAGTAACGAAGGCTCCTGGCTCTGCTGACTCAGGCCACTAAAAAACAACGTCCGTGCTGCGTCTGGGGAGGTGGAAAGCTGTGGGTTATTTGGGGCCTAAACGGCAGCCTTCCCCTCTTGGAGTAAGAGGAGAGCCATGCCGTAAAACTTCCTTCTAATTACGCATTAGGAGGTTTATGAGGGGAGAAGCTGCTGAGAGTTAAGGACCGGCTGAACGTGCCTAGTGTTCCTTCTGCAGAGGACAAAATTAAAATGTGGATGTATTTGTCAGAGGCGAAGGGCTGGATTATCATGCAATCTAGCGGAAGGACAAGAATGGGAAGTGAAGGCTGACAAACTGTCATCCTCGGCATGTCGTTCGCGAACGGAGGCGAACCAAAGGCCCCATGGCAGATGCCGGCAATGCAGCTGCACCCTTCGCTTTGAATTTACTGACTTTCGCTGGTTTGTGTCTGTGTTTGACACTGCACTCCCTCATTTGTTTAAAAATGAATAGAAAAGGAAGAAAACATAAAAACATTACTCAAGATACCAGAAAGGAAACTAAAGCAAGATCTGCCCTCGGGGTGTGGGAAGCGAAAACCAGCATCTCTGGGAAGGACAATCCCTACTTCAAGTAGACAGGTTCTTCTCCAAAACATCTGCTGCCTTCATGGAACTGATCATCTTGGGGAGCAAAAGAAAACACTTTCCTGACTTGTCTACGTCCTAAGCTCGCGATTTGTGGCTGACCTGAGGCTTAACTGGCCTGTTCATGGCAGCCAGAATGCTAGAAATGTTCTTATTGGAAGCATGTTAAGATGCAATTCTCTCCCACTCAGCTTAAGCCATCCCCTGCTTGGGAAAAACAAACAAACAAACCCTAAACACACGGTGGGGAGAGGAAGCAGAAGAGGAAATCTGTATCAGCTTGTCCTGGGTCAGAAGGTTTTTCTGAGGTGACACAAGCCATGAAGCATGTTGACCGAACACCTACATGGCTGCCCTGCAGCTCAGCATGACCGCAGGAGGCAAATACATGCATGAAGGTGTCTTGCTTGGCAGTTGCATATCCATATGCTCTCCTGGCAGCATGGATCCCTGGGGCATTATGCAAAACCACCCGCTTTGTAGATCGGGGATAACTGGGAAGGAAAGTCTGTGTGAGACTGCTTAGTGCTTTACAGGCCACACGCCTACCATTAAAGCACAGTCCAGAGAGAGGAGCCTTGGATGTGGCATGAGGTTGGGAAAAGAGGGGCAAAACCAGCTTCTCCACTCCCTCTGGCAGCACTGGGAACCTTGACATTGTTGTGCCATTCCTTAGTTTTCCTCCGTATGTAAAAACTGAGGACACCATACAATACCTGTTCCTTAGCCAGCCTAGTTGATAGCTAGGGAGTGCTCACGATGGCAGTGACAGAGGCTGCTGCTTAATTACATTTCTTGCAATGCACAGGGAGCTGAACTGGAATCCATTTCTCCAGGGACAGAGAAGTTGAAGGAAAAGAAAAACTCTTCTGTTTCTGTAATGTCTTCCTCTAGCACAGATCAGTCTAGAAAAAATGTCGATTCACCTGCTCCACCCCTGTGTCTGAGTATATTCAAAATGCAGAGGAGATAGTCAGTGTGATCACCTTCCATAAATCCGGGAAAGAAACAGGGAGATCAAATGAACAATCTCAGCTGCCTGCTGCCACCACTGCTAAACCCAGCAGGGCAGCTGGAGCCCTGGGAGACACAGCAGGGCACCGAAAAACTCAAAGGGAAGTGATAAAAGGGGGTAGAGTTTGCCATTTCTGACAGAAAGCCATCCTCTGACTCTGATGGAAGAGTCTTGGCAGGGAGCTACAGCAGGGAAAATGAGATGATACAGCATTTAACGTTTGGGGTAATGAGGCCTATAATAGATGACACTTGAGATGTGAAACACTAAGGTAGTGGTATTGCATTTAAATATTGGCAACAAGCTAAAGCTTTTCATCTGTCTGTTCAATGCCCCTTTTTTGATCTCAGAAGGATGAATATCTTTTTCTTCCTTGATTTTATGTGAAGGGCACAAGTCAACTGCTCTTCTCTTAGACAACAACTCCTTAAAAACAAAGGTTGCTCCAACCCACGCTCTACTACCCATATAAATCAACGTGTAGAAGCAAATTCTTAGGATCATATTAAAAGAGAAGCTGCTCTGAATGACCAGCCCTGACAGGAAGAATTAGTTCCCTGCTTTTGTTAAGCTCCTAATTCCAATTTCAAACTCCTCCATGCAGAGATGAGGAAGTAAAGCAGCACAGAAAGGAAGCCGGCGCTTAGGTGAAATAACCAAACGTTCCGATTAGTCTGTCCCCTCTCCTGGATCACGTTTCGCGCTTCCCCTACAGCTGCAACCAGAACGAAGGATGAGAATCCAGCACACAAATGCCTAATTCATTTGCTACAGCAGCATGAATAGGATTAAAATAATCTGAAGAGGAATTAAATGCCTCAACAGTCAGGTTGCAAGAGCAGCAGAATAAGACCTCTTCTGTGTGTTTCCAGGATCAGTGGAGTGGGGCCAGCAGGAGTGACCCAGGGCTAATGCAGCTCAGACCTGCCTTGGAGGGACTATTTTCTTCCTACTCAAAAAGAGTGGGCCACAAATCCTATAGCCTTAGCCATGAACCATAAAATGTTCACACCCAACGGCGAGAGAAGCCCAGGAACATCACATGAGTCTGCAACGTCACCACTCAGATGAGTTGAATTTCCAGCTTGGAGACAACCTGTGCAAGAGCTGCAAGTTTCCCTCTAAAATACTCTTACTCAAAACATCCTGTTTGGGGAAACATAAGCTGGCAAGCAAGCTTCAGTGAACAGCTTTGGTTCAACCTGCTATCTAAACAATGTTGTTAAAATAAGTCAGAGTATTTTCTACCTACGAAGAAATAAGGGCAGAAATCAATAAGCTGATGTAAGAAAAATAGAAGCACAGTGATGTCATGCCTCTAATAAAAAAAAAAAATCTTCCTCACTCTGGGAAACTCCAGTGACTTGAGAAGGTACACACTTTTCTCAACTTTGTTTTGAAAATAATTGTCAAGTTAAAGGACAGAAATGAGGAAAAAATTTCAGGGTCACAGCAGAGCCTCACTACAGAGCACATTCTATCAGATGCAAGTATGGAAATCTGCATCTTCAGTGATGACCACAGAAACGCAGGCTATTATTTTGTTACTTGTCTGATTAAATGTAGTTAAAATCTTGGGTTTTAAATGCAACCTCTCATTCAAGACATACAAGAAACAGTTAGGATCCTTCATATAATCAAACAGATAAACATTCATTTAATCAATATATAATCAAGCCACATGCAAGCACCTAGAAGTAAAAAAGGAAAGAACAAGCAGCCAACATGGATATGTCAAGTATAAATCATGTCTAATTTCCTTCTGTGGCAGGGTAGTAGACCTTGTCAATAGAGGAGAAAGAGCAGACATCATCTATCTTGACTTCAGCAAAGCTTTTGACATCGTGACATTCAAACATGGGCTACGTGAAACAAGTATCTGGTAGATGCATCACCAGCTGGAAAATTGTACTCGACGAATAGTTATCAACATTCACTGTCAGAGTGGAGGGGAATTATTGAGTGAGATTACACAGGGGTCCGGCAGCGTTCACTGTTTTTTCTTAATGACTTGGTTACCAGAAAGTGTGCGCTTATTGAATTTGCAAGGGGTACCAAGCTGGGAGAGGCTGCGAACAGGCTGGAGCATTTGCCTACATTTAAAATGACCTTGTCCAGCTGGGAATATATTCTGGACAAAGCAGAGAGCAGCTTCAGCAAGATGCAAGTCTCAGAAGCAAAGGAGCTCTGGGAAAGCAACGAGAAAAACTGTGGTGATGAGGGGATTCCTTCCCCCTGACAATGCTCTCCCTGCAGAATGAATGGAGAAGGTGACACGTACGTGGTGCTGAAGTCCTGGCCCTGTTATCAACAGTAAAATAATAATTAGCTGCTGTGTTCTGCTGTAGAAGAGAACAGACTTCTATCTGTGGTCCTCAAAATACAATTTTCAAGTACTCATTGGTCCTTGTGCATGAAAGATGCTGTAAGCATTTATGTGAGTTTTAATTATTAACTATATTAGCTCATCAGTTGGATGATTTACCAGTGATGTAGCACAGAGAAAGCCAGAGCACTCAGGGTAATTTACTGTGACTACTCCTAAACAGGAGAAAATCTGCTAAACACATAATAAACCAGCAACGGTTTACTGCTGGTGACAGGGTTCTCTCACAAAATCCCATTACCTTACTGGGATGACAAACACCCTCCCCACTGTGGGATGGCTTTCAGCATGGATTGAAGGCAGAGAACTCATGACACCAAGCTCTCTGTGTTTCCCATGGCTTACCCGAGGGTCGTGCCTCTATAATGTACCCAGTCGTGGGTTTTTCTCCTGAATCTCCCTCAGTCCATTGTAGCGTCAGCCCAGAAGCAGATTTTGTCACCAGAATTTCCTGAGGGGAGCCGGGAGACCCTGAAAGATGAAAGGAGAATAGCAAATGGTGGCAGTACCACAGACAGACTGCAATATTCATTTCTTCTACTGATATAGGGCGGGAAAGATCTAGAAGTACTGGTCAACATATATGCAACACAACCCAGCTCAATGGGCTATTGATTTTTCGCTAGTTCTAGTGCCAGCAGTTACATATCAATGGCTGGGTTTTACAGGTACCTGTGTTAGGCAGGAAAGAGCAAAAACACTCTCATTTTAACATATGCATTTAACAATACGCATTAGCATATCTGCAGCGTTTGCACATTGCCACTGCTATTTCTGACTTCAGAGGTGAAACCAGCCTCCGAGTTTCAGGGAGAGGTTCCTGGGGACAGCTGCCTGCCCATTCGCTTGGGAAGATGCCACAGCCGCGTTAGGATCCCTGCTTTATACTCTCTGTAGTGGGGCAGGAGAGGGAGACTGCGGATCCACAGTGCTGCTGCCCCAGGATAATGGCCATGGAGGGTAGTGTGATAAAATGAAAGCTTGCTGGTACCCAGAAGGGTGGAACTGCCACATCTGGCTCTGATGGAGGAAGCAAATATTTCCCTGAGCTGGAAAAGAAGCAAAAATCAGTACTGTGACCATTGCACTGATGCTCTGTGATTTACCAGACAGGCTGGTATCATTGGAGGGCATTTACCTTGTTAGATTATCTGTTTATCAAAATCACCTATCAAATAAGAAAACCAACTCTTTTGGTACAGGCACCGAACCAAGCGGGGAACGCTGATGCTGCTCCTCTTGACACATCAGGAAATGCACAGACCTCCCCCTCTGCATGAGCCCAAGTGCTGGTGGAGAGTAACTGTAAATTCTTTCTGGTTTTTTTTGTTTTTTTTTTTCATCCAAGAACCTCTGCTGGTTTTGGCAGAGTTATTCCAGTTTTGACTCCACCGCAGAGCAGTACAGTCAGAATTAATGTGCTGTGCTGTCAGGATGCAGCTTTGAAATCCCTGGCTAGCCCATTTGTGTTATGATTTATTCACACTGTTTTGTTTATTTGCATCAAACTTCTAGATTTCAGGAAAAAAGGAAACATGTTTTTCATGGGCAGTTGTGAAACTCACTGAATCATGTCCTGAGCTCCTGTGACTCAACTTCTCCTTGGCTTGGAAATTCATGTTAAGCCCTGAGTGCGCTATTCCCTGCTGTTGGACTATGTTTGTGTAACGGATCTGGCTTGCGACGTGGTTTTATGGCTCCACTTACCTTCTGCTGGCCCAGCTGTGACGTTGGCTTGCAGTTCAGGTCCATAGGCGATGGTTCGGGCTTGCACTCTGAATAAATAGGTCATGCCTTTGGTGAGATCTCGGACCTTCAGCCAGCGTTGCCAGTTCCCTTTAATGTCCACAGTCACCACCTTACTCACCCCTGCAACAGCCACACAGATTAAAAAAAAAAGAGAAAGTTGCCACGCAAAAAAAGAAATCAAGTGGAGCTTATTACATCTAGATGGTAAGTAAAATTATCTAACAGTTTGCTAAGAAAGTATTTCTTACAATTAGCAGGAGTTTAAGTAGTGATAATAGCCAATTTTCAGCACTGATAAGTATAATTAGAGTTTAAGCTTGATAAGTGGGTACTGACAAGAAAAAAACCTTACAACACAACTGGGAAATTACCAAGAGAGTACACACAACTTCACTAATTATTCTGGGAAGAAAGGCAGAGGTAAATGAAGAGGACTGCATGCTGCAGACTGCTTCCTAAGCAAGTATTTCTCCACTGCTGCTTTGCCAAGTAACCTGCAACATTGCCTGGAGGAGGAAACAAGGGCCAGCTTCTTCCCTTTCGTCTTGTCCTGTCATTTCTACCATTGCCAAGTGAATCCGGAATGAAGGATGTGTATCTCACAGGTAACTTGTGGGTATAAATGCCACTGCAATAGGGGAGGCAATCAAAGCACTATTAGCCCGGACAAGGCTGAAGTCACGACTTGTGTTTCACTCTTCTCACTCTCTAAGAATTTTTCTTACACAGATGAATTAAAATCAGTGCTGTTTCCTTCATCAAAGTTCATAGCTAGTTTCACATTTATGTTCTTAAGGCTGCATAAACGGCAGAGCGGCAATGAGTACTTTGAAAACAAAACAAAATCTAGTTTTCATTGAAATTTTCTGAAGGTAAGTCAATGGAAAGAATTTGATTTATAAAACATTTTACAGACAGGAAGTTCCAATTTACAGAGTCCTTTTGGCATTTTTCTGGTTCTCTAGAAGTACACAACACATTTCAAACCAAGAAGATAGGAAGTGGGAAAAGGGTTTTCCCACTAGAGAAGGCTGCTTGCTAGTTTGTCTTTCCAGAAAAATGCAGCAGGAAGATGTTTCTCAATCCAGATGCTTATTTTATGCAAATCAAGATTCTTCTTTCAGTTTTTATCAGTTAAATAAAGAATAATGTCCAAGCAATTTCTCTTCTAAGTTTTCTCCCAGATACAATTTATAACTCAGGGAATCTTTCCTTGGTTAACGAGGAAGCAGTAAAAGTGCTCCCTCCTTCCCTAGGTCTACTATTTCATTTCTCCGAGACAAATCAGGAAGCATTTGTCATTTTGAAGTTATGTTCCAAAAACAAACAAAAAAAAGGAACTGTTAAAAAAGGCTCCAGGGCAATTTTGTTGTCTATTATTGTGTAAAACATAACACTGTAAGGCTTAAACAAGAAAAGGTCAAACAGGGAGAACACTGTGCTAAAGAATAGAGCGCTGTTAGAAAGTTTTGCAAAATGTGCAGGTTTTAAGCAGTGGCTTGTGAGCGGGAAGGCAGGAGGTGTCACAATGGCAAGGATGCTCAGCCGAAAATCACAAATGGGTGTAAAGTCAAAAGATGCAGGAAAAAAGCTCCAGGGGGTCTGGTCCATTCATATTGTTGCATTGTAGTGCTGGCGTGGAGGAACGCGAGACCCAGGGCTGGAAAGACCCTCCGGGATAGTGGGGTCTGGCAGCTGCCAGCCCCCTAAGCCTCGCTGCCTGCATTCAGCACTGTTACGTGCTCCATATTCAAATGAGTTTGGCTCTACCTTGCTCTCTAAATAAAGGAGCATGGCTTTTCTGTTGGAGGAAAATGATGGCATCAAGGGACGGATTGCTTACCATGGCAGGAGAATAACTATGTTTGCTGCAAGCAAAATGTTGGCACAAGAGCGATTGGGTAGAAAATGGAAAATAAATTTAGGCAAAAATTTAGAATCAGAGGAAAAGCCCTCCATAACCTTCCTATTCGCATCAGAAATCTACAGGAGAAGGAGAGACAAACTGGAGTCAGAGATAGCACGCAGGCAGGGCAGAGGGGGAAGAGAAGAAAAGAAAACAAAGATTCTGAGAATGTTAAGTCAAATGCACGCAGAGAAAACACGATCTGACACTTCCATATTTTCAGGGGAAAAAATGTATTCTTAAATATTGTGTAGGAGTGAATAAAAGGCAGGAAATGCCCAAAAAGCCCGAACCTCCTGCATACCCTGTTCGCAATCCTTGGTCAGAATTAGAAATGCTTTCTGCATTAGCAATTTGTGCTAAGACCTGCCAGCTGTAAAGGCTGAAAGTGCTTTTATTCTCATGTTTTCATTCCTGAGTATAACTTTCTCAGTGCATGAGACATGGATATTCAGACAATATAGATCTTTATTCCTTACAGATGAAGGAAATACAAGTGATTGATATCCTTATTTCTTTGGAAAAGAGTTTAAAATGGATTGGCAATGGCTGAAATTACTCTCCCTGCTGTCACACTGCCAAAGTTGGACACCCTATTGAACTATTGGCCATCTACCAAGAATATAAAAATATTAATAAGACCATCCACAAACTTTGTAATCTTTTCTAATTCACCTTTAGAATGAATTTACATTCGTTTTCAGAGAAATTGCCAAATCCTCTTCTGTTGCTGTTCTGGCAAATCAATGAAACATTTGTGGCCACTGCATTGTTGTGGTCTAGCTTAAATCTAGTGCTGGGTTAAAAATGCTGCTTGAAAACTCCATGTAAACAGAAACAACTAAATCTCTGTCACAGTTATTCTCCCCTGTCAAAAGCGGCAGTGGTACCAGTGATGACTAGCACATCTGATGCCTGGGCAATCTTTGCGATAACAGAAGTGACACATGATGTGATAAGCAACACAAATGTGTCTGACGACTATTCTGGGATGGAGCCTACTCAGCAATTTCAAAGCGCAATGCGGGGAGACAATCAGGCACTCTCAGGCTGAGCTTCCTCTTCGCCCATACCAGGTAATGACGGCAGTAAAATGACTTATCAAATCACACAGAATATAGTTTGTGCAAGAAAATGAGAGAGGACAGGCAAAAGCTATATTCCACAATATTATAGTTTGCTGAACAGTTTTGGCAAAAGCGGAATTGTTTTACTTACCCTCTGCCACCTGGCTTCTCTTGGAAAATGGCTGAGAGCAAGTAGGAAATTGGGCAGAGATAAAAGATACTACAGTGCTTTTCTGTCATTTCCCCATGAATATGTATGATTGGAGGTCTTTCTTACCCTGGACAGGAGCCAAAGGCTCATAGACTACTCGATAACCCTGCAGGACTCCATTTGCTGCTGTCGGCTCGCCCCAAGACACATTGAGTGTAGTGCAAGTGATTTCAGAGAACGCCAAGAAGCTGGGAGCACTGGGTGCTGAAAGGATTACAAAAAGATTGAAATGCAGTAGGAGGAGTCAATCTGATACACATATATATGTATAAAACATTGGTTTATTTGCCCAGCGTAAATCTAAATGAAACAAGCTGAGAATGGGATTTGTCAATGGTATCCAAATGTCCCGCAATCAATCAGAAAACCAGCCCGTCCTAAGAAATGCAGCCACCCAGCTGCAAAGCTGAACCTCAAAAGCGAGTGAGGCAGTAGGACACAGAAGGAAAAGACCCTCAGAAGGGCACTACGTGAGCATACAGCCCCAGTGAACACCTCCTCTTCATAGCCACGAGCAAGGGCATTGCCTTCTCCCTGTGCTGGCGTGCTCCCACCACAGTCACATCCAGCACAGAGACAGCTCAGTCTGACTGGTGGCTTACAAAAAAAAAAAAAAAAAATTATAAAAAGCACAGTAATTCTCTCGCAGGACTGTTTGGGAGATTCACAAGCACTGGAAACAAGTTCCTTCAGATTTTCAGGTGTGATAGTAAAGGCCAGAAACAGACCCACAGGCAGTTCCCTTCTGAATCACCTTGTGAAGGGATTGCTCCTTCTGCCAGTCCATTCTTTTTTCCGCTGTATCTCTCCCTTTCGCACATGGTCCACTTATTTGTTCTCTTTTTTCCCTTCCAAGACCATTACAATGTAATGACACATCCAAAAGCTAAACCTAAACACCAGTGCCCTCCTGTATCCACCCATTTCCCTTAGCCACTGCCTGGATACATGCTGGTCATCACCAAGTCCATGCTTTGAGACAAGACAACGATCCCATACCCGCCTGGTGCGTCCTGCCCTGCGAGGGGCTGCTCCTGGGGCCGTCCCCGGCTGCGTTGAAGGCAGAGATGCAGACCATGTACCGCGTGTGGCTGGTCAGGTTTTTGAGCCGGACAGTTGTCTCTGGGAGGAAAAGGACCTTCACTTTCTCCGTGTCATTTTGGATGTCGCTCTCCCAGTAATAAATCTGTTGGGACAGTGAGATGTTTTAGTATATCCTACACCTAGAAAATTTCTGGGCATTGCAGCTATAAAAGATCAGGAAGAAGGCACAGTCTCGCTCCGGACTCCTCCGTTAAATGGGATACTAACTCTTTTCACCACATGCCCAGTCTTTTCTCTTCCTTTGGCAAATTCCCCCCAAGTCCAGTGACCATGTAGCTGAGTACATCACTCAAAAATAAAGCACAGGCTGAAGAATATGGCCTAATGACAGCAGATATGAGCTGCCAGAGTGCAGCATGAGAGGTCAGTTTTTAAATTTTCCCTGAAATGAGGGAGATGCCTGTCAGCACTGGTGTCCCGATATGATGGTCCATAATTCACCTCTGTATGCACACGATGGTTTCACCATTTGTGTTCACAGGACAGCCAAACAAATGCCTTCCTGAAGAGGGTAATAAAGTCTTTCCCTACAGTTCCTTGAGGTGTATTTCCCCATTCTTCCCCTTCATAATTTTTATCCTGATGCCATAAAATTAGGCTTTGGAGAAGACATTTCCAAGAGCAAAAGTGGTGCCAGCCCTACTTATTGGACAGGTCTGGCAGTGAGAGCATTACAACAGGCCATAGCAAGCCAGCAAGTCGAGAGAACGAGCCAAGGCAAGACTCCACCTTGGCTCTACAAGCCAAGCTGTTAGAGCCGTCTATATACGTACAAAAGAAAAAGAACATGAATTGATATATAAGGATGCTTGTTACTGCCAAGAAGGGATGCCAGATTATTCACATTGGCTTGGCTTTTCTTCGCTTATGGACCTAAATTCATCAAGAGAGGCAGAGCCAGACACTGAACACAAGCCAAGCTTCAGTGTTTGTAGACTTGCCCATTTCCACTCTCTGAGGGTCCATTCTCATGCTGGAGAAGCTAAACAACATGCCTCTGCAACGTGCTCATCTCCTATGAACCAAATGCAATTAATACTATGATTTAATTCTGTTAGAGTTAAGGAAATGAAATAATTCTTCCGAAATCTGACCTGGCTCAGGCTTCCAGCTTGGAGAAAGTTCTGCTTTTCCTAATGGTTTGTAACATTTGATAGATAGAAAGCTCAGTTCATTTTCTTCAGCACTTTTCTTACCCTTAGCTCTTGTGTGTCTGTTGCTTTTTGGAGCAGATATGTTGCCTGCATAAGTGGAGCTGCCTCCTTATCTGCATACCCTGTTTCCCCACGCTCTCCTCCACAAATAGCAACACACTTCCCCCCGCGTCCCCCCCCCCCCCCCCCCTCTCAACACCCCTCCCCCCCCGCCCCCCCCCCCCCCATCTCATTCTCTTTCTTTTGGTTTTGGGACTTAGTGCCATTTCTGTAATGCAGTCTGAATGCTGTTTTAATTTTCCTTATAGCTCTACAAACTACAGTTGCCATCACTCTATCTCGCAAGTAATAGCAACGCCAAGCAAGATAAATGAAACCAGTAGAAACAGGAGGATTGCCTTGTAGCCTTGAATGTTCCCATTTTGGCTGTCGGCAGGAGGGGGGTCCCAGGTGAGCTCCAGCTGGCTTGCAGAAAGGGAGTTTACTTGGATGTTCTGTGGGGCCAGCGCTGGTGCTAGAGAGAAAGAAGGGCAGAAGAATTAATAGTGACAAGCAGAACTGGTTCATATCCAGGTTGCAATTTTCCATTTGTGGAAGGACCCAGGACAGACTCTGTTTACGCCACAAGTCAGCCAACAGAGCCAGCCCCGGAGGGGCTGTACCACGGAGAAGTCTCAGCACACGTGGACCGAGAAACAGCCGAGCCTCCGGACGTGGCTACGTCCTGTCCCACGCAGACTGGGTTAGACACCAAATCAACTCAATCATGTCAGCAGCTTTGGGAAAGAATGGGGAATTTTGTCTTCATTCCGCCGTACCGGTTGGGGCTTGCCTTTGGCAGTAACACTGCGCTCCCGACCGACCACTCCTGAAGGTAACTGGGAGCAAGGCAGCCCCTTGCCACCGTCAGCCTGGCCTCTCACTCAGCAGCAAGTCTTTGTAACAGCCTGTTTGCAATGCTCCAAGACTTTGGGCCAAAATACTGTCTAAAATTATCTCCAAAGCCAGTCAGATGCTAATCAATTCAACTAATATTTTATGTATGACAAAATGGCTTTTAGTTTGCTACTTGTTAGCTCTGCTTTGATTATACCTTCACATATATATGCTGGTCTTTGGCTCCTGATGGCATTTCTTCTTTGCATTGTGCTTGAAAACTAATCTTTGCATGCACCTGGGTCACACCACCCTTCCCTTTGTCAGGATCCAACTTGCTGCAGGTGGATTTTCTTCCCCGGTGGCTAGCAGGGATGGTCTGCCTTCCAGACCCGCTGCCTCTGCCTCCGGCAGGTCTTAACAAAACAGCACGTGTTCTGTTTACAGAAAAGATGCCGAAGCGTGTCCTGTCCAAACCCCAGAAGCAGGAAGAGAAAGGCAGGGCAAAGGGTATGCTTCTCTTTTCTCCGCGTTCACGGTGCCGTAGCCTTCACCCAGACCACCCGAGAAAGCTGCCTCTTTTCTCTCTGCCCCTTTATGGGCCATAAATAGAAGTGATAAAACATTCACTACTCGAGTTAGATAGCCCCGGATATCTGTTCCTCTGGAGACTTCTTTCTTTAGAGAGAGTGACCTTCGTAAGTCACACTTTTCCACCAATACTCCCTCCCCCCAGAGTTATAAAATAAAATAGTAATTAACACCCACTCAGCCTGACACCAACTATTTATTTTGTTCTAACTGTGTGGTTTCCATATTATCACTGCCCACCCTGCCGTTAATGGAAATGTTAATAACCAGCGCCAGGTTGTTGTGACAGATGCTTGGGCTCATTATCAGAAATTCTTATTTACCGCTCCATTAAACGACAGAATCGCACAAAAAAACAATTCAATCAAAACTAACTGGAGGAATTTTAACAGCCACATTAATAATCCAAAACATAAATAAAGTTAATGTCTTTTGCATGTTTGCCATTGGCAACTCTATTGCAAAATTATTGCTGTACAATTAAAACGTGAAAAGCAAAATTGAAAATAGCCTTTATCCCAGTGCTCAGTTAAAACTATTTGTTTATTATATTTTTTTTGCTTCCGTTTCGGCTGGATGTAGTGGGCGCACGAGGTGACAATGACCATCAGTAAAATACAGCTTGTTCACATGGGTGCACTGGTTTAACTGCTGCCCTGCCTTCTGCACTTGGCGGAGGAGCGAAGAGAGCAGCTAGCTGGCTGGCTGTGTTCAGTGCAACACAGCGCTGCTCCGTTAAGAACCAAAAATCTCAAGATTTTGAGACTTTCACAGCACACATCAGAGTGCGAGGCCAAACCGATCACACAGTGCAAACCTGAAAATACATCTCAGAGATTTGCAGATGATGACACGCTCAGGGAAACAGGAATACGTACAATCACAGAAGAAAATGGATCACTTTAGCAATGTATTTTCTTTCTAGGTAGTGACACTACTGTCTGTCCTGAGCTGACAGCTTCAAAGTGCTCTCGATACCCAGGTCTGAGGCAGCGTCTATAATAGTGTTTTTCTTTGGTTCTCATGTGCCAGCCTGCAACAATTGCTGTTTCTGAGATGTGACCATTAGAAGACCTGGTGTACGCAGCCAGAAAAACACCACTTTTCCTTCAAACCTTTCTGGAGCATGTCTAAGAAACACAATGGTTAAAAACTGCCGGTGATCATTCTCCAGTGACACTCTCGCTGCTGGAGCTGCACTTTTGCTGGCACGGTGGTGGAAAATTTGTTGGGAGGAGAAAAAAAAAAAAAAGACGATGTGGAAAAAGACATTTCTCTTCGCTACCCCAGAGCCTCGACGAGATGCAAATTGTTTGGTTTTGTGCCCTGTGAGCCTGTCCCTCTGCTCATCTTTCAAAGGCTGATGTGTCCCTCCTTCTAAGCACAGATTTCTTGTTGACAGCAAGGGACGGCTGAAAAGTGCTGCTGATGCTTAATGTGGCTCTGTGCAGACAGCACATTACATTAAGGGTGAAAAGAAATACTTCAAAAAGAAGGAAACACATCCCTAAAGACTCTACCTGTTTGAAACCCCAAACTATTCAACTGAATGTATGGACAGCCTGTGCCAATAAAAGCAAGTACTTTTTAAAGGTGAATTCAAAAGCCTTTTACCTTCTAGGAATGCAGTTCAAGATTACCGAGCTCTGAATTTTTCCATGGCTGTTGAAATCACAAATACATAAAAAGCAAGGTTAAAGCTGCATACCTCACACTGCTTTAGGTGTTAGTGACATTATCAACTATAGCAGGAGTGACACAGACCCCTGAGGGTCCAAACTCAGCTCTTGGCAGCTGGAAAGCATTTTACTTTCCCTGAAAAAAAAGTATGTATTCATGAAGTCTAATTCTGTGCACGTATCCTGTCTTGGAATCTCATGCAGATATCTGTAAACATTTCTTTTCTTTTCTGATTTCAATTCACCCTTGAGATTGAGAGTGTTTCAAGGAGACAGCCAAAAAGGAGAAAGGCTGAGCAGGTTGTATAGTAATTAATAAAAAACCATCATCATGTATGGACTGGGATGATGTTGGCAGGATCACGTAAAGACAACAAATCTTTCTGGAAACGCAAAAGAGTCAAAATGATCCCATGAATAAAGTTACACATCTAAATCCGCATTTAAATATATCACTGCCCTCATTTTCCAGTCGTACTGAACAGCCTCTGCTCACAGTGCAGTCAATTTGAGCTTGCAAATGCTTATAACCTTTAAAGAGAAGGTGCTTAAAATCCCCAGCGGCCAGCCTGCACCAGAGCTCCGTGAGGTGCAGAAGGTTCACCCTCGTTTTTCTCGCTGCTTGCTTGGGATATTTGCTCTCTGGGCTGAGTGGCACCGAGAGCTTTTCATCAATACGAAACTACTACTCCTTTTCTTAGTGACAGTTGCCACGATGCGCTGTAGCACAGGTAGGCTACAAATCCTGTGATTCAGTGGGTAAACTTAAAAACTGCTTTTATGAAGCATTCCTTGCTGCTCTTACATCTGCTCCAGTTTCTGGGTAGCAGAAGATTTCTCCTCTACTGATTTTCTAATTGTTTCTATAATGCCAGTATTATGTCAGGAACTTCACAGACAAGTCTGGGACAAGATTCCCCAATACTCATGTCATTTAAATAAACATGCAGGCAAAAAAATGAGGAGAAAAATGCAGTGAAAGAAATGGAAGATTCTCTGTGCATCAGCTTGATCCCACAGTTCCAAACAATCACAAGCAAATTTCTGCTTTGTAAAGACCTCTGATCCTTTTCTATGTAGCAAACATTTTCCCCCCAGTTCATCAAAGCATGCTTTTGTGAACACGCCTGCTTTTATTCCCTCGTAATCAATATATTTGCATTTTGGTGCTAGCACCTAGAGGCCAGAATCTCATTGCACAATATGTTGCATAAACACAGAACAAAGAGACAGCTCCAGGCTTAAAAAGCCTCTAATCTGTATGTCTACACATTATAATGGAGGGGTGGCTGCGGCGTGTTCTGACATATCAGCTGTTATCTTATCTACCTAGTGAGTAACAACAAGAGGGAAGCCACAGCAATATTCAGTGTAGCATGTGCTGACAATTAAAGCACGCACATGCAGCACCTCCAAAGTTTACACGCAGGTTCCTGGCACACACAGTCATGGAAAACAGAGCTGGAAAGGATTTGGAGAGCCCTCAGACAAGCCATCCTCCTGCGTCACACCGGGATCAGCTTGGCTGGTCAGATGTTTGTGCAATCTCGACCACTGACCTCTTTCTAGATTCCCCCGCCATCCCCACACACTCTACCAGCATATCCCTGTTTTAATAACTCTTAAAATAACTCTCAGGTTTTTTGTTTTTCCTTGTGTTTTTTTTTTTTTAAATATCTAGCCTAAACCATCTCGCCATACTGAAGTTCTGTCCCTGCAGTGGCACGGAGAACAGTTTGTTTCTTCTCCAGTTGCAGCCACTGCCCTCAAGTTACGGCATAGTAAGCAACAGTTAAGTGGATTATAAAAGCCAAACACAACAAAACAAACAGAAGGTCACAAGATAAAACAGTGAGGCTGATCTGCAGAATGGGCAAAGTGAAACGCAAGAGGTTTTCTTGCAGCGTGGGCTCAGAAAAGGAACGCAAGCATGGTCCTTCCCAAGAAAGAATGAAGAGGCGTATCTGCAGATGTTTGCAGTCACTCCTTCCACGAAGGAAAAGCAGCGTGAGAGAAAAACGTTTAGTGTTTGTTGGCCGTTTTCTTACGGCGTCGGTGAAAGAGAGGTGGGAGCGAGGAACGCTTCCCCTGTGCAGCAGTACCTCTGTGCCATCAGGAATGCTGCGTGAGCGATGCTGATTAGTTCAATAATGATTAGTTAATTGTGCTTCAAAAACAGCTACTGCGAAGCTGCTTTCCGCTGTGACAAAGCGGCACAAGCTATATTTAGAATGTAAAAGATGTTTCCCACCAATTTCTGGCTGTTTTAAGCTAGGCTACATTTTGTGTTGGAAGTGCGTACTTTTTCCAAGGACTGCACTTTCTGGTGTTACTCAGATGTATTTCAGATGCAATAAAACGGGCAGAC